TAAGACTTTTTAAGACCCCGCGGGAACCCTGTATATGTGACATGTATGTAGTAACGTGTGTTGTATGCATTTTATTGTTCTCTTTTATCCTTTCGCCTCTGTACTTGTCTTTCATCCTTTCTTTATAACTAATGCTGTTGATGTATTGTGATTTTAAAAAGGTGTCTATTATCATCTGGCCGGGGACAACATCTGGAAATGAGCAATGTTGGCTAAAGCTAATGCCCCATTTACTGATCTTTGTGACAGTTGATCAATGGGGACTGTGCACGACACTATGAACAATAAGCTAAACTAAACAGCTGTATAATAAAGCCCCACTGGATGGATGTGACAATGACTCTGAGGTTCTGATCACACTGTGGTTTGACAAACCTGCAAACTCATTGAAGTGGTTGCCGATGTCGAAGGCCTGGTAGTTGTAGCTGGAGTATTCGTAGTCTATGAAGCGAACATGACCTGAGAGACAACGAGAGGACATGGAAAATGTTAAATGTATAATGATGTACCAGCTGTTCACGTTGAAGGCTCAGGAGTGTGTTGAAGCAGTGAAATATACCGAATTAACATCAGTGTACACTATCAAAGATATTGAAGTGACTGTTATTTTGTATATATTGATTGTTGTGCTTTTATGTATGTCTTAATGTGTGCATATGTATAAATGTGTCTGTTGATTGTGTATACATAGAATATACATATTTGTATATATTTTTGTATTATTATCGATCTCTCAGTCTGTACACACAAACTGGAAGATTGACAATAAAGTTAACTTTGACTTGACTTTGACTACAACTAACTAAATGTAAACATAGGATACTGTTTATAAATGACTATATGAATTCATGTTATTGTTAAGAAAGCGGATTAAACATAGGGATGGAAGAGGACAGGAAGGAAAGGAAGAGTAGTGCACAGAGTAGAGGAAAGACAACAAAAGAGAAAATCAAAAATACATCCCGTCCACATTTTTAGACTAGAGTGACCCCTCTGCAAAGCTCTGGAGGTTCTCACCCTCTTTGCTGTTGTGGATGATGTTCTTGCAGAGCAGGTCGTTGTGGCAGAGAACCACCGGAGAACCCAGAGTGGAGAGATGCTCCTTCATCCAAACCATCTCCTGCTCCAGCACCGCCTTACTGGGAACCTCCTGCTGGATCCTAGAGAAAGGGAGAAAGAGAGAGAGAGAGAGAGAAGAGAGAGAGAGAGAGAGAGAGAGAGAGAGAGAGAGAGAGAGAGAGAGAGAGAGAGAGAGAGAGAGAGAGAGAGAGTCAGATTTATTCCTAAATTATTCCTCTAAATCAGTTTTAAAGGTCACCTATTATGCAAAATCCACTTCTTCATGTCTCTTCTACATCAACATGTGTCCCCTCTTCTTCATGTCTCTTCTACATCAACATGTGTCCCCTCTTCTTCATGTCTCTTCTACATCAACATGTGTCCCCTCTTCTTCATGTCTCTTCTACATCAACATGTGTCCCCTCTTCTTCATGTCTCTTCTACATCAACATGTGTCCCCTCTTCTTCATGTCTCTTCTACATCAACATGTGTCCCCTCTTCTTCATGTCTCTTCTACATCAACATGTGTCCCCTCTTCTTCATGTCTCTTCTACATCAACATGTGTCCCCTCTTCTTCATGTCTCTTCTACATCAACATGTGTCCCCTCTTCTTCATGTCTCTTCTTCATCAACATGTGTCCCCTCTTCTTCATGTCTCTTCTACATCAACATGTGTCCCCTCTGTGTAAAGAGATTCTGAAAGTTACAGGAAAAAAGATTCTCTCTCTTTTTGTCCTGATCCATTTATATAAAAACCTGTCTGAAAATGAGCTGATCAGATTTTGAGCCCTTTATGATGTCATAACGATTTGTTGGCTTGTGTAACCATTAGCCAATCAGCAACCAAGGTAACCCCCCCCCCCCCCCCCCCCTTATCACCTGAATCTCCTCCTAGAGCACCATTGTGTTCTTTGTAACCAAATATCTCTCAGAGGGGCGTGGGGAGGGGCTCCTTATTTTCATCTAAAGTAACAGACAGAGAATCAGCACTTTGGAAACAGGGCTGAAACAGAGGGGATTATGGGATGCTGCAATGATCTGTTTGGTGTTTGGAGCCAAACACTTTAGAGACATGTTCTGTTTATATCTGAGACCTATAATATATTGATGAAAAACAGTATAATAGGGAATAGACCTCTAATTTTGTAATCCTGCTAGTAATCCACAATGTTTAGAAATGTGATAGTAATGTGATCTTTTTTGATGTAACTGTAAGGGAATAAAGTTACCTCCTGATTACGTAATCCTGTTAAACCCAAGCCTGCTAGTTGTTTGGGATAATCAAACATGTGGAAACATAAGTGAAGAGAAAACAAATGAGACCCTAATGCCCAAACAGAGAGAGAGAAGCTCCCAGTGGACGGTGCTGCACTGTTACTATGGATACACCTGCATGTCTCCTTTTTAAATGACTTCTCGTATCTGATTATAAACATTTGATTTGTTATCTCTGATCTCGGTCATATGACGCAGACTGAGAGTGTTATGATTAGCTGTAGTAGAAAGAGTTAAGACAGCGAGTAAGTGTCTGAGCCAGTAAGTGTCTGAGCCAATGAGAGCAGTGAGCTGAGTAGAGACCCCTGTGCCAACAGTAATGGGTTTAGTGGGCGTAATCCACCTGCAGGAGGATGCCTGGAGGAGAGAGAACACACGCACGCACTGAAACCAGAGCCCAGTCTGCTCTGATTGGTTAGCTGGCTGGCTCTGTTGTGATTGGTCAACCGCTTAGAGATGTAATATACTTGAAGATATTGTGTAGATAATGCAGAACACAAAATTAAAATGAATTGGACTGAATATGTTTAGATTGTTTTCATATCTGTCTAACTATAAGCTATTCTTTATCATTTAGTACAAATATGATAGTCACCCCCTATGTGGTTTTATAATGTAACGTAACGTATGGTGCCTTTAGGTTGCATCTAGACTGCCCCTTGAATGATGATTAAAAACCATTTCAACACATTTTGACTTTTAAAGCTCTGGAGTTATTACGAATGTTTCGATCACGTGAGTCACGACTGCAATCCGGTACTGTAATAGTATGATACAAATAATATTGGAGTAGTGTAACCTCAGGGATGCAAACTCATCAGGTATGAAAAAGGTGACAAGGATCCGAGCCCCCCGACCCCACGGAATATCGGCTTTAAAATGAGGAATAACAGGATTTTAGCAGTCAGAACATCTAAAGCAGTTTATAAGAGAAACGCCAAAGAGTCACATCTAATAGAAATGTATAAAAGCATTTATTTTAATTGTGTAGCAGTCAGTTTATAATTTTGGCAGGACTGTTGAGCATTTTGAAAATGTATTTTCATGCCTCTGTGCAAGGCTTAGTCTTTCTATCTTTATAGCCAGTGGTGTAAAGTAACTAAGTTGATAAACTCAACATGTACTATACTTGGGTACAATTTTGAGATACTTGTACTTTATTTAAGTATTTCAATGTTTTGCTACTTTGTTCTTCTACTCCACTACAATTCAGAGGTACATGGTGTACTTGTACTCCACTACATGTATTTAATACCTTTAGTTACTTTACAGATCTGGATGAATGATGTGAAATATAATCAAGTGTTAAATCAGACTTTAGTTCCACCTGGAGTAAATTCACAAGCTACCCTGCAGTATACAAAGTCATTCAAACTAGCTGCACCTTTACCAGCTTTGAGAACACTTTCATGATCAATCATTATAAAACATATCATATATATTATTCTGAAATGGACCAATCTGCACAATGACTACTTTTACTGTCGCTACTATCACTATATTTTGATGAGAATACTTTTCTACTTTTACTTGAGTAACATTTTGAATGCAGGACTTTTACTGTAACAGAGTATTCCTCCACTCTGGTACTTCTACTTTTACTCAAGTACAAGATCTGAGTACTTCTACTTTTACTCAAGTACAAGATCTGAGTACTTCTACTTTTACTCAAGTACAAAATCTGAGTACTTCTACTTTTACTCAAGTACAAGATCTGAGTACTTCTACTTTTACTCAAGTATAAGATCTGAGTACTTCTACTTTTACTCTAGTACAAGATCTGAGTACTTCTACTTTTAATCAAGTACAAGATCTGAGTACTTCTACTTTTACTCTAGTACAAGATCTGAGTACTTCTACTTTTACTCTAGTACAAGATCTATTCTTATACCACCTCCGTTTATAGCCTATGAAAAAAAACTATTCGAAAACGTTAGCAGATATGTGATGCTAGTTAGTTAGCTCAACGATAATATTGCGTCAGGAAAACTTTTCAGTGTACATCACGCTCTGCCGCTCCGATAGGGAGCTCTGCTCTGAACACCTGAACGGCCCGTTCTAACAGCTGTTCACCAGCGGTCCAGTCTGTGCCACAGTGACTCCGGACCACACAGTTAATATTAACGAACGCACCCGTAGGTAATGTAGCTGCTGAAGCTAGACCCTCATCCCGGAGCAGCAGAGCCTTATTATACATCCATGAGCAGAGCCGACAGGCAGGAAGACTCGAGCACACAGCTTGGCTTCATTATAATATATAAAAAAAGAACACCATGCGTGTCATGATGGCACATAACAGCTCACGGCCGCAGATTACTCCGGGTCCCAGACCCCCCCCATACCCCAAAAATATTTTTATTGCAGATCTACATGAATCACACAAACGACCTGTTTTGGATTCAAAACGGCGAATTTCGCCGAAAGGTGACAAGTTTGCATCCCTGAACCTGTATCTGTGCAGAAATACGGTTTATTCAGATGCTGTTGAATGATTTAGAATTGTATTGTTAATGTAATGAATGTCACTTTCCTGTCCTATGTGTATCACACTTGAAAATAACACAGATCTCTACCGATGTGTTCAAATTGCCTGTTCACCTCTGGGCTTTCACACAAGCTGCTTCAAACCCCAGAGCAACAAGTGTCTGCTGTCCGGCTCCAGGTCGCTGCAGCTGACTGCGTAACCAAGGAAGAGAGAAACGTGACCTGATGCACCGAGCTGAGCAAACATCTGGCCTCCACATGCCTCAGACTCCCTAATCCAGTCCGCTGTTATTGTTACACTTACATAAGCCACATTCTGGATTTATAGAAGCCATCAGAACAGAAAGATATCAGCAGTGAGAGGGCAGCTGGACACATTACGAAAGGGTCTTCCTTCGACAAACCACAGGTCTGAAACCAGGATGTAAACTGAATCCTCCTCAAACTAAAGTCTGGGACCTGTTTTCCTTTCTCTTTTTCCTAACAGGATTACAACAATCTTTTATGAGCATCAGCCCAAGAGGCTGATTAGATGTAACGTTGTATAGATACTTTTGGGGATATTTTAACTCAAGTTTCACATCCTCTTTGGTCAGCTGTTATTAGGGATGCTCCGATCGATATCGGCCGATATTCACTCTCTGCCGATCGATCGGTGCTCTCTAAAAATGCCAATTGCGAGAGCCGATCGCACGGCGTAAAATAATGATGTAAAATACATGACACTTTTCTCTGTACGCGGCAAAACAAGCTCGCCAAAATGGCTTCACCAGTCTGGCAGTATTTTAAGGTGTCCGAAAAAGACAATCAAATAGCGGTATGCAACGTGTGTGAAGCAGAAATCCTGCAGCTCCGCCCGCTGTGACGGACCGGTGAGCGGAGCAGAACACACATTAAGAGTTAGACCTAACACACTTAGCTATTTTATCTACCTCTGGAACAAGCTAAACTAGTTATACATATGTTTATTCTTCACTGTCGGGTCACTCATTACTGGATCAGTGAGCTGCATGAGACGATACTGACAGGCTGTCAGGAGAGAGAGAGAGAGGGAGAGAGAGAGAGGGAGAGAGCGAGAGAGAGAGAGAGAGAGGGGGGGGGAGAGAGAGAGAGAGGAGAGAGGAGGGGGAGAGAGAGGAGAGAGAGAGAGAGAGAGAGAGAGGGGGAGAGAGAGAGAGAGAGAGAGAGAGAGAGGGAGAGAGGAAAAGAGAGCGCTTCCGCTCATTTCTCCCGTGTTATTATCCAAAGTTAATGTAAACTTGAATAATGTCTTCATTTGAATGTAATAAGTATGTTGGTTGTTGTTTGTGGAAGCTCCAGTGAATGAGCCCCATTAACTGAGTTTTAAACCTCACTTTAAATGGATCGGATCGGCGATCGGTATCGGCCGATACTGATTCCAGCGATCGGCCCAAAAAATGGCGATCGTAGCATCCCTAGCTGTTATTGCTTTGATAAAACATACCATTCTCCTATAATGAACCAACCTTTGTAGGTAGTAATGTTATGTAATATAACCTGGATGTATGGCTTTTGATTCATGGAAATGACTGCTGATGGATGTTAACAGCTGGTAAATAAAAAATAGTTGATCTAAAAGGGTCAGTAGTATTTATTTAGGTACCATGAATGTCCGAACAATGTCCAATGGAGGAATTTCAGGCACGGAAAGAGTGGGTGGAAGAGAAACTAAACTATAAAACTATATAACACACTACAGGAAAGGGAGAGGAAGACCCCAAAAAGCATAGAAATCAAAGAAGTGCAGACAGTTGTAAAGCTTTGGGTATATTCTTATAAGCGTCTCCACCAGACACATCTACAGTTTTCTTTCACTTCCTGCCTCTACAGATATCTAATCGTTTATAGATCATTTGTAAGATCAACACCCTCTGGTACTCGAGGTAACTACCTGGTGCAATAATACTTAATGAAACTAGTTCCCCGAGTGCTCTGAGATGATATCAGGCTGCGGGCAAATAGACTCTACACTCATAACCTCAGTGACAGGCAAATCAGTCTGCACTTCAGGAGCTATTTGCATGTGTGTGAGTGTCGGTGTGTTTTGTGTGCTGTATCACAGATCAAGATCTACTGCTGAGAAGGCCGATCTCACCTGATGTTGGACGCTTGGTCGGTGAACTCGGTGGCCACGAGGGAGAAGTACTTCCTCATCTTGATCCAGAGGTTGGGTTTGGGGATGCAGCCGTTGTGTGCGTGGATGGCGTGGATACGAGCCATCTCCCCAGCGATCATTCTGACAGGACATATGAGTGTTCAAAAGCCATCACCAAGGATAATCCGTGTCATCAGATTAAATATAAGTATTGATTGCATAAAGTGACATCTATCGTCAGCCTCACATCATGTGGCAGACGATCTAACCGACCATTCAGCCTGTGATTAGCATGTTTTGCTACATGTGCCTTTTCCCTGTGCCGCGTCGAGGCATTTCTGGCTTGTGAAGAATGTAGAGACCTATGATAGACCTTGAAAGTGTGATGCTACAGTGTAATAATTCAAGCATCTCTGGGCTAAATCAGAATAAATCCTGAGTATTCCCACGATCTCCTAAATCCTAACCTGCGCAAAGAAGGATCCCTGACATCCTGCGTCCCCAGAGCGTCCCCCTGCATGAACTCGTAGCAGATGCCATTTTGAAATGAGCAGTAGAGGCGAG